CAAAATCTCAACTTGAGCTTCTCCAGAAATTCGGTTTTATTACATAGTTACTTTATTGATTCTGACTCTTTCCTTTGAAGCACTGTGATTGGTTGGCCACGCCTACTTTAGCACATCTACAATTGGATTTCAAGTAGATTTCTCAAAATTGCATATCAATATCTTTATAAAGATTTCCTTTCGTCATTTTTCTATGCAGAATCCTTGCATGACCAATGCTTCACAAATTTGGCGAAAAACACACTGATATATCACGTATGCAAAAATTTTCTTACATTCTGCAAAACTTATCACCTAACACTGAGTCGTCATACTAAAATTACCAGACATTTTACGTTTTATTTATTCAACAACATGTGATAATCTAGCAAACGTTAGTTTTTAGGAAGTAAGCTTTGATAAGCATTAGTAACAACTTCATGACTCACTCATGCCCAAATCGTCTAGAAATTCATGCGCATTAGAAGAGATGAGCCTTAGGATTAATTGGGAAGAGTTTTGCCTGGATTGGACTTTTTTAGTTTAGCTCTAGGCAGAAGTAGCAAAATGTACATAGCAAAGCACTAATGTGGCATTTGAAAGCACGTTAGAGTAGTTCTTCTCTCATAGCAGAAGGATCTTTAAAGGGTAGCTTTGTCTTTGAAAAGACGGAAGAAACAGCCTTCAAATCTGCAAACGTGTCATGAGAAATGTCGCTGAAACGCAGTCATGACGTGAAAACCATTAATCTCACAAAAAAAGGCTATTTTAAGTTGTTTACTCTGTTTTCATTGAAAATTATCCGATCATTCACTTATTCACTCATTTGCTTATTCATTCATTATTTCAATTTTTATCGCATTCATACATATTCATCTTTTCATTCCTCTTTTTTCTATTCTATTCTAGCCATTCACCATTCATTCGTTAATTCATGCATTTAGTTGATTATTCATCCATCACTGATTCTCTATATTAGCTATTCATCCATTCATCCATTCTATCATAATTGACTCATTTACTCATTCGTTTGATTAATTCAGCAACAAATTCATTCGTTCATTCGATATTCATACCTCCAATCTCTTCATTTACGTATTTACTCAGTGCTAGTTCAGATACTTCGAGTTTAAATGGATATAGCAGTGACAACTGTCCAGCATCATATTTGACATAGAATTAAGGTTGGTGTTACTTTTTAAGGCTTCGGCTCTACTTGATTTATATCCTTCACTTTTAGATGAATGATATTGGTGGATGTGATAAAACAGCCTATGGATGGCATCCGTTAAGTCCAGATGGTGCCACAGATGACGCCACCTACGCAAGTGTTGTCAAAACGGAGTTTCCCCTAGATGACGACATGTTCGACATCAGCAAGGTGATATTTGTTCCCTTAATTTTGACGAAAGACCCGTACCACGTGAAGAACCTTTGGGGTAGTTAGATTAGAGCTTATGGCTTATCAGTGGCGCTCGAATGTTGATATCGGGCATAATTTGAT